CCCCACCCCCGCCGCCGCGAGTTGTTTGGTCGCCTCCGCGTCCGATTGAATGGCGCGAGCGGAATAAAAAGCAGAGCAGCAGCGACAGCAGGCCGTCTCGACGACGTAAACGACGAACGACATGATGACTAAATTAGCCGAGCACACTCTCTCACTCTCTTCCTCCATCTCATCCCCCCCCTCTCTCCGTCTCTCTGTCTCTCTCTGTCTGGCTGTCTCTCTCTCTCTCTCTCACACACACTCTCTCTCCCTCTCTCTCGCTCCACCCTCTCTTTGTCACTCGCCCCGGACGCCCGACCCAGGCCGACGGCGTGCGCATGACACGCATTGTATCGTCCCGCGGTCGTAACCGTCCGAGCCGTTGTCCTTCCCAGGTGACTCAATGCGTAACAGGTCCCTGAACTTCCTCCTCGAGGCGCGTCCAACCGCTCTCCCACCGTTTTCGTGGAAAGAGAAAATGAAAAGGAGACATTTCACAAAATCATTCATTTTCCCACGGCCATGGCAAATGCACTTCACGTGTACAGGGGGTTAGCTTGCACATCCAGACCGGAGTGGATGCAGTTTTGATCATACAACTGGACTGCAGGTTGCCGTCGTCATCGTGTCATAGCACCCAAGGCCGCTCCCAAGCCTCCAATGACGGCTTTCTCTGCCTTCGCTCCCGGCCCGAGCCCTGCAAAGAGCAAGCAAAGCGAGCCAAATGCCCATACCGCCCACCCTACCCCCTCCCGGCTCCCGGCTGTCGTGGAGGGTGTCTGGCTCGCGTAGGTCGCTCCGGTGCAGGGCTCTTCTCCCGGCGCCGGCCCCGGCCCCCGGCCCAGCGCCCAGCGCCCGCGAGGTAGGCCAGCCGGCGGGGCCCGGCGCAGCCGTGTGCACGGGATGCCTACACCTGTTACGTCGGGCGCCGTCCGTTGCGAGCGCGGGCCGTGCGCTGCGCTTCACCCCCTGGACCGGCGGCGCCGGGCCAGTCGGCGTCGCATAACAGAGCGTCGCGACGCTACCCCGCGCCACAGCGCGACGCTACGCGACCCCTGGCGTGGTTGACGCTCCCCCCGCCAGGGCGCGCGCCGGCGAGCGCCGCCGCGGCAGCGAAGAAGCAAGCGGAGGAAGAGAGAACGCGCCGCCGAAAGGGTTGGCAAGAGCGCGGGAAAGTCGACGGGGTGGG